TGTTTATAGCATCTGAGAGTAACGAAGTATGTATGGAAATATATGGGAGATGACCAGAAAACACAGCCTTCTTTTCAATATGTAGAGGAAAAACTTGATGTAGACTTGTTTGACAGAAAATAGAAAGAAAGGAATATAATTAACAGTTGTTGTGATCTTGTGGAAGAATTGGTTAGACAGTATCACTCTGGGATTAAACAATCACTTGGCTCTACCAACCCAAATTACATGCATCTACAAACGAATTTGACTTTAACATTTGGCATTTTGATTTTAAAATGGGCACTGTACAGTCCATCAATACACGTTGAAAGGATTCAGATTTGGTTAACAGTTGTATTAACTGGCTGGTAGACCCACATGCTTTTTTTTTTTTTTCTACTCCATGTTTTGGAAATCACTCTTTCAGAAGTCATTGGAAGTTAAGAGTTACAGATGACACAACAATAAATATGAGGAAAAGGCACTCCCAAGGAGGTCTGAATGACATTAAATAGAGTTGCGTTCAAACAAGATTAATTTTACAGTTTAATTTTGCAGGGATATAGGACTAAGGAGTGTCCCATTTCACTCTCGCATCGAGTGCTGTGGTCTGGGATGTGTCATCGTAGTAGAGGATGTGAGAGTGAAATGTATAAGATACTGTAAGTTCCTTGTCTGATTCTGTGTCAAAAAGGCTCTGAAAATGGGAGCAGTAAAATGCTTTGTGTCTGTGTACAGCTTTGTTGGAGCTAATAAACTTTTTAACGCTACATTTGCTTTAGATGTCTGTCTTTGAAGAAACATACTGGAAAAGAACACGCAGAGAAAATGAGATTTAAGGAACTGAAATAAAAAGGATTAGAGGTGACATGATAAGTGATTTTAAAACTCCATAAGGAGAAAGTACTAACTGTGAAAGCACTCTTTAATTTGGTGAAGAAAAGTAGAGGAAAGCATAAAGCTGAAAGTCAGACATTCACCTTGGAAATAAGGCAAATATTATAACAGCGTGATTAGCCAGTGGAACAAACTATCAGAGAAGGTGGTGATTTTCCATCCCTTGAAGGCTTTCAAATCAAGAATATTCATTTTCTGGAATTCAGGCTTAAGCCAAATACAAGTTTACCTTAATGGAGTTGGGGAACTGTGAGCTTGTGCAAGTCTTTGTGCCTCTGGCATGAATTTCATGCATACTTCAGGTACTGTTAGCATTGAAAGATCTCCAAGGCCAAGCTTATGAGGCATTTATGTGTTCAGAGTGGTGTATGCCCTGGGACGAAGAGGCTTGAAGAAGTCTGATTATGGGTAAGCAGATTATCTTCCTTGGGCTCAGTGCAGGATAACTAAGGAAAAATTAATGGCCTTGGGTACAGGAAGTGAGTACAGATTATCCTAAAGTTTGCTGTGAATCTGTTAACTAGTTACATTTCCAGTTTCCTTAACTAATCTGTGCCAAAGACTTAAGTGGAAATTAATCCGGCTGCTGGCTGCATTAGCTTCCACCTACATAATTATGGTCATAGAGGACAGATGTGCTATACAACCATCAGCTGGCCTACATGGTAATTTTTTCCACATTTTAAAATTACAAGTGCCTGCTAACATAGCCCTTCACCATAAGTGCCAGACAACGTCAGTGTTGCCATCTCTGTTTCAGTTCTTTGGTTGGATTTTAAAGCCTTTAAAATGCTATTGTCTTGTGTCCTGTTGGGTAGTTTTCCTGACTGGTAGGGATGTGCTAGGAGTTCTGTGGGGCTGGAAGTAGAGGAACAGTTGTCTCAGTGGTTTGCATACAAGACTGTACTATGGAGGGGAAAAAAGGAGAACAGCGTGGAAATTTTGAAACAAGTTGGCAAAATGAGACTTAGCAATTATAAAATAATTTACTAGTAATTCTTATTTCTGCGGTTATTAACTGAATAATAATGATTCTGATTTTGCTGGATCCTAATGTTGTTTAAATTACCTATTTTGAGGAGGGCAGCTTCAGGCACATTTCAAGACAGTTTCTTCTTTAGAACAAAAATAAATGTAGAAGTGTCTTGAATTTTACACTTATTAGAATAGCTCTCCTTTTAACATAAGACAACCACTTTTATTTTTTTGACTTTGTAAAAAGTCACTTCATAGGGAATGGAGCAAAAATAAATACATCTGTTCCACATTTGGTTTCAGTCTACTTTTTCAACAGAAATATGCATCAACATTCATCTCGTAACAGTAATAAACAGTCAAACATGAAGACAGACTGCTAGACAACTCAGTAGATGGGATATATAAAATACCTTTTCTTCAGCATCTTGCAATTCCTTCTGTTATTTCTTACTTCCAGCAGAACTTGCATCACTTCCAAAGCATGTTGTGTGCTTTCTTTAGGCAAGAATATTGAGTCATGAGATGGTTTGTCACAATCCTGGTCTTCATTAGAAATAATTTCAAGATGTCTTTTGTGCTTCACCTTCTGTAAACCTAAGATAACCATGTCTGATGTTTACTCCTCAGTGTTAATATTTGATATAAGATGGAACTGTTATTATTACTGTTCAGTTCTTTGATGACTGGAAATGTCAAGTGGTAGTTTATATGTGAATTACAGTAACATCTTTCATTCTCTGCAGAAGAAAATGATTTTGGAATGGGATCTGTATTTTATGCTTAAGCTAATGTATTTTATTTCCTGAGAAATGGCTCTGTTGTTGCTTGGAAATGGTATTTTGCAAAAATTTGTTTTGACAATGAAACTTTTAATTTAGAAAACTATTAAAAGTTGCCAATCAAGAAGAATCGATTCAGTGTTCGAAAGAGTAATGCTAGATTTTGAATTGTAATTGTTTCTTGTAAAGTGAATTAAAATAATATACTAACGATGTAAGACTTGGTAGGTATTGTTACATAGCCTTTTGGAAATCTGAGTCACCATGCTTTGTATTAGTACTTAGATTCCTGAACTTAAGTTTATCAGTATGTTATTTCCCTTGTCTAGTGTTCATTGCCAGCTGAACTTGAGTTAGCAGTGTGCCCAGGTGGCCGGAAGGCCAACACTATCCTTGCTTATATCAGTATTAGTGTAGCTAGTAGGACTATGGAAGCGATCATTCCACTGTACTGAGCACTGGTGAAGCCACACAGAGTACTGTGTTCAGTTTTAAGCCCCTCACTACAAGAAGGACATGAAGGTCCTGGAGCATGTCCAGAGAAGGGCAGCAAAGCTGTTGAAGGGTCTGGAGCACAAGTCTTAAAATGAGTGGCTGAAGGAACTGAGATTGCTTAGGCTGGAGAAGAGGAGGTTCAGGGGAGACCTTGACACTCTCCACAACTACCTGAAAGGAAGTTGCAGCAAGGTGGGGGTCAGTTTCTTCTCCCTGGTAATTAGCAATAGGATGAGAGGCACTGGTTTCGAGTTGCAGTAGGGGAGGTTCAGGTTGGATATTAGGAAACATTTCTTCTCCAGAAGAGCAATACGGTATTAGAACAGGCTGCACAGGGAGATGGTGGAGTCACTATCCCTGGAGGTTTTCAAGAAACCTGTGGTTGTGACATTTAAGGACGTGGTTAGTGGGTAGAGTGATGATGTGTTGGAAGTTGGACTTGATGATCTTGAAGGTCTTGTCCAATCTTAATGATTATGTGATGACACCGTCCTGCTAATAATAATAGTTTTACCTAATAGTTTTACTCCGTAAATAGTGAGCAGCCCAAGAGCCCCTGGGGATTTAATCCTCTTAGTGAGACTGCATGTGACCTCCCCAGTTCCTTTTAAATATTTGTGAAGCTTGAATGACTATGTCTCAGAGTGAAATCTGTGGAATAATTATTGAAGAAATGTGTTGGAATATATCTCTCTTGAGAAAACGTTGAAGAAACTTCTGCTGTGGAATGCAGTGAATATGCAAGGAGTCTGTTCCATGATAGTTCACTAAGCAACACAAGACAGGGAAACATTAGCTTGTTAACAGCACCAGGGAGCTCGGTATGCTGACTCTTAAGAGATAGAGCACAGAGGATGGAGTGAAGTGTAAAACACCACAGCCAGGCTGTATGTTAGAATTGCAGAGAGGGGAACCTGGTGGTACTATGGAACTGGTAAACTGTATAGTAGCCATTCTGAGTTAGCAGCTTTTCAGTCTGCTTTTGCACCAATTGCAACAAAGCTAAGTATGATTTAGAGTCACTCAAGTTCCGCCTGAAAGAAGGAAAATAGTATAAAAGTGGCCTTAGAGAGAAAGTGTTTGGGGAAGATATCATTGCAGACAAAGTAGGAGAATACCACTGGCTTCTGGGACCTGTTGACAGGCTGAGCTTCTCTTCCTCCCATAGGAGCGTCTAATGGGTGAGATTTACATACTCAGTTACAGAAAGTGCTTCCCTCAGGAAACTTAAAAATCTCTATAGAGAGTTATTCTATAACGTAATGCATTTGCAGTCAGCTGTATTATTCACATTAATGGTACTCACACGTGCTCTGCGGACAGTGTATTTATCACTGACAATTTAAAAGCATCTCTCATCTGTTGCTCCAATAAAGAGCACAATTCATGAAGCTAGTCATAAGAGTTCTCAGTGGATATGGGCAAATTCCTTAAGGTTGGGAGTCCATGCAAACACAGCTGGACCTATAGCACCAAATTGAGTATTAACCCTTCAGTGCAAAAACCAGAGTCTTAAATCCTGTTGCGTTATTTCTTTAATTGTATCACAATTAAAGGTATACAAATCAGTTTCTCTGAATTAAAAACAATAAGATATTTTGTTATTCATATGTGTTTGGGAAATGAAGCGGGGAAAACTTAAAATAGATTTTGTTAAAATTGATCCTGTTATGTAGATACTGGCTGCCTCAAGATGATGAGTATGAGGTTATTCCTTCGCTCTGAATAACCGAAATAACAGAATGCGTTTATTTAATTTAACTTTGTTGTTGTATAACAGGTGATTTTTCCGTAGAAATATATAAAACAGTGAATTCATATGTTAGTTTGAATTAATAATAAAAATTTTCTTGTTGTTTTTCTTTCTAGAATATTTTCTTTCTTGGACATAGTTACTTTGTGTCGATGTGCACAAGTTTCCAAGGTATGTATTTCTATTGCTGTTGTTGTTCTTTGTGAAGCCCTTAATTACGTGCAAATCATGGGCTTTAGGATGGTCTTCTTCCTGTTTAAATAATAAAAATAAAAAATCAAATATTTCAGCATCAAAACAAAAAAATATTGGTCCAGTTTTGTGTTCAGATATGTGAAATTAGTTGCTATGTACTGGACTTCTTTTGAAAGGCTATGGAAAAGATATCCAGTAGTGTGTGCTCTGTATCTGGAGAAGGGATTAAACCCATTTTGGCATAGTGGCACTTGCTTTTTATTAAACACGTGGCTGCATAACATTATTTTTCAGACACGTTCTGCTTAAAATTCCATGTAGCTCAGTTAATGTGCGCCATGTGTCTAAGTACATCCATCATTTGCTTGCCAAATACAAAAGGTGTTAAATAAATGGACTACCAGTAGAGAAGAAAGGCACACAGAAGGTAATAGAGAAAGCATGCTGAGTAAGCTTTTATGTTTAGCTAATCTTACTTTTATTTTGAGTTAACATGAAAAACACTGTTCCTACATGAAATGTGTACAGTGAAGTGTATTTTTATACAACATGAATAAACTTTTTAAATCGTTCTTTTCTTCATTCTTCTAATGCAGATTAAGTCTTTCTTTCTTCCTTTTATTTGTTTTAATTTATAATTGTGTAACTACTAAATTCTCACACCCATATTATTCTAGACTGCAGCTTCAGTAAGTTCTGAGCTAACTAACATCAGCTTTTGTAAGAACTTTCAGTCAAAGCCTAGAACACATCTGAAGAATAACAAGGCGAATTAATAAATCCTTGTTTTGTTTTGTTTTCTCTCAGAACTATGTCAGTTGGATGAATATTCTTTTTTCCTGTTTTTCTGAATATGTTTTTGTTTCTGTGCCTTTTTACTTTGTTTTGCTTTGAAGAACTGCTTCAACAGTGAAGAACAAATTATCAAATGTGTACGCAACTCAGCACATGGAAAGGCCTGATCCCAACAGTGGGAAGTCAGCAATGTTCTGAAAGGCTTGTCTTCCTCTCAGAGTAGTAACTTGTGAGGTTGAGGAACTATGGTTTTCTTGGAAGGAGTCTCATGTGCATTTGCTTTTCTCTCCACATATATCTAGTTAAATCATGCTGTGTATGTGTTTTGCATTTCATTTCTTGCTGATACACATTTTACAGGCATAAGACTCTGAAATGTAATCCATTTAGGAGATTTGAGGTTAATTTAAACAAATGTTCTGGTTTTAACTAGTTAATATTTTATTATTAATATCTGCTATTACATTTGTTTTTTAAATAAAATGTGGTTTTTTTTGTATTTGAGAGTTTGTTGTATTGGAATTGCTGAGAGGAAAACAAAGGGAGCAGGCAGTGGAGGTGTAAAACTCTTATTTGTTTTGTGTAGGCATGGAATGTTTTAGCTCTGGATGGAAGCAATTGGCAAAGAATAGACCTTTTTAACTTTCAGACGGATATAGAGGTGGGTGTCCTTGTTTATTTCATTCCTCTGGTGATGCTTAAGTACCTCACAGATTCTCTTTGCGTTCACATTTTAAAGGCTAACGCTCAGGATAGTAAAGCAGTAAAGGAATGAATGGTCAACTCCATATTTGACTTTTTTACACAGATTATGTTTTTGAGTTTTGCTTGGAAGCAATGTATCAGATAATTTGCATATGTTGTATGTATGCAGAGTTCGACAAATTCAGAACTGGTCATTTCCAGAAAACAAAGGTATGAGCAGTGTCTCTGGACTGAGTGAGATACTCGTAGTCACTCATTACCTTGTGGAAAGATTCTGTTGCTTGTCTCTGGTCTCTGTGAGAGTGCCATCTAGTGCTGGAAGCTCTCTGAGTGCTTGTCTTTCTACATAAACTGAAGCAACAAAACGGTAAAAATCTTTCCTTACTGCTGACTTGGCCTGGATTTGCTTTGCTCTGTACTTTAGAATCATGTTATCAACGTTTATTTCCTATGGCTTGAGTGAAACGAAATGACTGAAATGCGGGTTCACGTAGATTAAGATCCTTTTCAGCATATAATGAAATAATTAGGGCAGTCTCATGTTCCATAAGAAAACAACACATTTGTATGAACATTATCATAGATGTGCATAAGAAAATAAATTATGACATTGGAAAATGAAGTCCAAACCCATGGGAAATACAGTTCCTTAATATAATTTAAACTCATTCATTATTTGCATTTGGTAATGCAAATTAATCTTAGAATACAGTAATGAATTTGCTTCTGAATTTTTGTATTAAAGTTTTAATTGCATAAGTAAAATCCAGATGGGGATCATTTGGTATATTTTGCAAACCGTATTTCAAAGAATTCCTGAAGCTTTACAGTAATAAAGAGTAAAATTTCTCACTGTTCTCTTAACATTTTATTGCCAACTCCTCTGCTATACAGATATTAAATATGAGGATTTGGCAGAGGTAGAAGAAAGATTTTTTGAATTTGTAAGTGTCTAAGATGTTTTGGGGCTCTAACATCATCTTTTTCACTTGCCTTTAAAAAAAATACAAACTTGTGTTTCTCATTTGCTAAGAAATAAAAAGTGAAGCCCACCAGACTGGTGGCCTTTCTCTTGGCCAGCTTTTTTTCTGAAGTCTTTTTGCTATGTTTATGCTGAATTTGTCTTCATTATACCTAATGGCGTTGTCCTTTCAGGTATATTTCTGGCCTGGTATAAAGGAGAGAGAATGAAATTAAGTTATGATCCTATTTTTCTATAAGGACCCATTGTGGTTTTGAGAAATTTGATTACCTAAGTATATTGTATTTAAGTACATTTGTAATATAAATTTATTCATAACTTAAACCAACGATTACTGCATGAATTAGTTTTGAATGAGGTATGCATTCACTTTCAATATTAAAGACCTCTGTCTTAGAATCACAGAATCACAAGGTTAGAAAGGACCTACAAGATCATCTAGTCCAATCCAGTCCAGCTGTCCTCCTGTCACCATTACTTCCACAGGCTACTAAACCATATCTTGTAGTGTCTTGTTTTGCTTTAAGCTGTTTTAGTAATGTGGTTTTTTTGTCAGTGGACTTAAGGACAGGTAAGAGCTACTAACTGCATATGGCAACTTTCTGCTCCATTAGTTGTTGTACTGTTTGGTGATGTCTCACATAACATCAAGCAGTACTTGATCTGAAACTGTCAGATAATGGAAAATCATGTTTTGTGGTATATTTTTCCCTTTTTGTGACTTTGGATGATGTAGAACAAACCAAGAAAAATGTATTTCTATACTAAAGAGGAATTTTTTTTTCTGCTGCAAAGTTGTGTGAAAATCTTCTTAAAGTTAAGTGTACCTTAGGATTTGTTGGTCTGTGGTACCAAATACAAGCTGAAGTAGTTTGAAGAATTAGTTTTTGAGTGACACTGTACTATTCAAATACCTGAACACATAATAATGTACTTGTCCTTTTTAATACACTGTTTTGGTGGGTTTTTAACATGCTTCAAGTAATAAAGGGATACGAGAAAACATATGTCATTATTTGTTTCTGTTTGCTTTGAATAATTAGATTTTTGATTTCCCCCTCCATTATTGAGCCTCTATTATATGTAGTTCACTGAGAAGACTTTATCCTTGCAGTAAAGGTACTTGGCCTCTACTGGGAAATAGTTCTGAGTGATTGGAGAACTCTAAAAAAACATGTAATTTCATGAAGTGTACAATGATCTTTGGTTTGTTTGTTTTGATGTAAATGTGTTTGAGAGAGGAGGTGACCAGTTACCTACAGACTTAACAAACAAGTGCCGATAAAAATGTTTTCACCAAGAGTTCAGATTGCAGGGGAATAACAAAATACAAGAAATATTTTACTGATCCCGTGAAAATGCTACCATTGCATATAGAGAGGAAATAAACTTTGAAAGTTAGCAGGTAGGCTCTGGCAAATCTTCTGGATGCGGTTGAAGTATGCTGGAGTACTTTGTCCAGGTCTGGGCCCCCAGTACAGAAGAGATGTGGAGCTGTTGGAGAGGGTCCAGAGGAGGGCCATCAACATGAGCAGAGGGCTGGAGCACCTTCCCTTCGGGGACAGGCTGAGGGAACTGGGCTTGTTCAGCCTGCAGGAGAGAAGGCTGTGGGGAGATCTCATTGCAGCCTTCCAGTATTTAAAAGGGGTGTATAAACAGGAGAGGAATCAACTTTTTATGAGGGTAGACAGTGATAGGACAAAGGGGAATTGTTTTAAGCTCAAGGAGGGAAGGTTTAGATTGTATGTCAGAGGGAAGTTCTTTACTGTGAGACTGGTGAGGTGCTGGAACAGCTGCCCAGAGAGGCTGTGGATGCCCCATCCCTGGAGGTGTTCAAGGCCAAATTGGATGGGACCCTGGGCATCCTGGTCTAGTACCAAATCAGCAGGTTTGTGGCCTTGCCTGTGGCAGGAGGATTGAAACTTGATGATCCTTGAGGTCCCTTCCAACCCAAGCCATTCTGTAAAACAAGACTTACGAGAGGCTGTAGCTCAGTGTCACATGCTATTCTAAGCACATATTTGTGAATAATGCAACCTTGTGTGCTGGAGTAACAACCGGTCATTGAGGAACAAGATACCTCCTGTTCTGCTTCTGGGCAGTTCTGCAGATTTCTTGCAAAATTGACAGCAATCTTAATGGGTAGGGTATTGCTGAGGCAAAAAATTGAGCTACGTGTGGTAGACTCAAAAAGAGAGCTAAAGATAAAGTGAACAGCACTTCTCTCATCAGGTAACTCTTTTTCTTAAAGTTGAAAAGGAATTTCAAAGAGATACGTTTCTGTTGGGATTTTTAAGTTGCTAAGAATGTTATGTCAGAATAAAACTCAACAAAATCTTCCTTTTATTTGGTTTAAGGGTCGTGTTGTGGAAAATATATCGAAAAGGTGCGGTGGGTTCCTGAGACAACTTAGTCTGAGAGGATGTCATGTTGTTGGAGACTCCTCTTTAAAGTAAGTAATGTCCTAGGCTAAGACATTGCTTTTGTTCCAAATAGTAGGAAATAAGTAATTGTTGGTAGATCTGTTTGGATTTTATGTACCCTCTGATGGTCAAAATGGGACGCTTAAGTAAGTACTAAGTACCGTAGCAGTGACTAAATAAGCCATCAGTTTGAGAACAATATGTAGCTACTTTTTTTTTTTTCCCTCAGAAATGAATTTAAATTTTTCTTTTCTCTCAATTTTCAAGCATTTTAAATGTTTTCAGGTTTGTACTTTGGCAACCTACTGACATAATTTCATCAGGATTAGTAGCCAGATTATAATTAATCTTTTTTAGACATGAGAGTGACCCTAGCAATGGGAGAAAAACTAAAGACTGGTGTCTACCAAATTGGAAAGGGTATGGGATTCTCTGCTTTCTGTAATATAAGAACAACAGGCAACAGAAGCATCTCAGGGAAGTTGGCCCTTCTTTATGCAGTATATAATTTGAACTGTGCAGCTTGTTCTCACAAGAAACTTTGAATCCCTGTAAGCTTTTTCTATATGCAGACTGATTATCCAGATTCCTCTGTGGATGTTTCTTTGTTTATTTAACCCACAGATCTTACCTCCAGCTGAAGGGCCCCTGTTTGACAAGTCCTTGAGGACTCAGAATACTGGGAGCCAAGCTCAGGATACAACTTCTTGGCAGCTGTTGCTCTTTCCTCACTGTCGCAGCAGACTGGGCTAGGTGATGTTCAGTCTGACGTAGCATGGCTGCTTTTTTGTGCAAGATAAAAGCATAAAGATTTGGGTTAAACAGTGGCATTTTTTTAGTGCCTTGTGACCACTTTCTAAAATTTATGAGCAAGTCTAATTCATTGAATTTGCTTCCAGAGCAAATTCATGAGTATTTCTTGTGCATATTCTGAGTCAGAGTGTTTCTCCCTGTAGAGGCTTTAAGGCTTTTTTCTTTCTTAAAAACAAAACAAAACAAAAAAACAAAACAAAAAACCAGAAAGAAAACCAGCCAGTGACAAAACCATGTAAAGTGTGGGTGAAGTGATTGAGATAGGAAATACTGAGATTTAGAATGGAACCCTGATTAGCTTTGGGCCAGAAATTTGGTTAAAAAAAAAAAACGACTAGAAATGTTATGTTGACCCATTCTAAACAGTCTTTTTTCTGTTTTCTCAGTCTTCCTAGATTTGTCTTACATGTTGCTAAAAACCTAGAATCTGATCCAGTATTAAAATTATAGGGGTGTTATCGGATCTGTGGAATTAACTCTTCACATCCATTTTGCTAATACAAGAAAAGGGTACTCCTGACAGAGTTGTGTTCCTCTGAATCCAACTGCTAGTTAAATAAAAGATTGCTTTACTATTCCAGGCAGGCATCCTGACTTCGGACCCAAAGGTTTCCCCAGAGGTTTCCTTGCAGGCTAGGCCCAGGAGTCCTTGCAGGCCATCTCCCTAACTGCTCCATGGGGTTTTGCCACCTTCAAACAGTCTTGTCTCCTCAGAGGAAAGTGTGTGTTAACATTTCCTTTCCAGATGACTGGCAACTGCTCTTAAAAAAAAGAAATAGCCTCAACCACAGTTAACTTTCTGCAGCATCCCTTCAAGTTTCCAGAGCATACATGTAGATGGCCCCTGTGTCCTCAGAAGGGAAGGTTTGAAAATAGAGGAGATGGGGAAGGCATGTCTGGAGAGGGGCTCAAACTGAAGGGATAGATAGGAAAGAAATAAGAAAGGTATAAGGGGGAAAGATGACAGTAAGCAGGAAATTCTGTTCTTCACCCACCTTCCCCCTAAACTTTAATATTCAATTTAGGCTCATGAGTACTAATCAGAACACTGAGGCTAGGGGTCTGCAGTGAATAAAACCAGTAAATACAAGTTGATTCAGGTGCTAGTGGTGTCTGAGAAGAGGACTGGAGTTGTGATGTTTTTGAATGGCATTGTATTTAGTAAAGAGGTATTTAGAGCAAGTGTGTGTATCAGTTGAGCCCGTCGATGGGTCGGTGGGGTAGTTGTGCCTACAGGAAAGAGGGCAGGGTTAGCAGGGACAGCTGCTGGGCTGTTGGCACTACACACAAGTGCATCTGTAATAACTGGTGCAGGTGGCTGTGTCTGAGGCATTTCAGGAAGAACAGTGGTTCACCCCTGAAATACAAGCAGGTGGTATCGAAATTAACTTGAATGATAAATGCATGAGCTTTAAGAGTCTCAAAACATTAAGATGAGGCTTAACAGGACCCTTTCAGTATTTCTTTTTCCTTCTTCTGCATCCATATTTCATTTAAGAACAGGCAGAAATCAAAGTAGGTTTTGGCTGTGCAGGTGCTGAGTGTTTGTGGCATCTGTGTACAGACACATCCCTGCTTGAATCTCACAGGCTGTTCATGCAAGTTATTACAGAGTGTAGTGTCTTTTCAAGCGATTTGAAGAGTGTCTAGATTGCAAATTTCACTCCAGTATGTGAATTTTGGAATAGCTGTTTTAAGAATTCAAGTGGAAACTATCACCAGTGTAACTACCGCTGATTTTGTTGGATTTGTTTCCATTGTTTTCAATCCGCACAGGAGAGCCAGGAAGTTGTTACCAGCTGAGCGTGTAGACGGATCTGTTAACCACGGCAGGCCTCCAGACAAAAATGTTTTTGTGTGTTTCCTCCACCCCTGCCAGTAAAATCCATGCAGTTGGAGGAAACGCAGGCATAAAAACAGTGTTCTGAAATGCAGCGCAGCTGTAAACATTACTCTGAAGAGATGAAAAGAAAGTTGATGCTTTTTTTTTTTTCTGGGTAATTAGTGTAATGATATATACAGGCTTTTAGTGGTGTAATAGCTGTAATCATCTTTAGCGTGCATACCCAGTGGTGCACACAGATGCATTTTAATTTTTAAAATAATAAATAACTAATTTAGAGCCCACAAGGCTTTCCCTTAGTAGTCCAAGTAGACTGGGTCCCAGTTCTGTGTTGTGCAAGGCATGTCCTTTTTGTTTGATGTGGGAGTGAGCTCCTTAATGGTGCCTGCAGAAGCTTCAGTAATGAAATGTGTAACAACTCTTCCCAGCACCTTAACTACGCTTAGTCAGTATCTGATGTGCCATTTCAACCTTTGTATTCATTCCCTTAATGATTTTAGTTAAGGCATTTGAAGCAAATCAGTTCTGTTTAATGGCAGAAATAAACACCTTTCTCAAGTGGTGTTTGAGGGAGGAACAGCACTTAGTTTCGGGAGTTACCCAAGACAGAACCTTGCAGTAGCAAAATAAAAAGGCAATCACTGGAACAGATGTTTTACTCTGTGGCTTGAAGATGGAGTTTTTTGACTGAGATGAAAAGGAGCTATGGGACAGAGCGCACTCTAGTGACTGAACCATAACTTCTGGCATTATAGTAATTCTCCAGCTTTTTGTTGCTGTTTTAGGACCTTTGCACAGAACTGTAGAAACATCGAACACTTAAATTTGAACGGGTGCACAAAAATCACTGACAGGTAAGTCGAAGGTTTTTTCTGTTTGATGGTGAAATTCGGAAAAAGAAGTAGCTGAAGGTATTTTTAGTGTGTCTGCTGTTTTGCAGCACGTGTTACAGTCTTAGCAGATTCTGTTCCAAGCTGAAACATCTGGATCTGACATCTTGTGTAGCCATCACAAACAGCTCTTTGAAAGGTTTAAGGTAAGAAGATGTAGTGTTTTGTGTTAAAGAAAAGAATTTAAAGAACTGTTCACTATATAATAAAGTTTTAAGACAAAACCACAGTGTTGAACCTTAATACTGTGCATCAGCACTGGCTGTACCTTATATCTAGCACTTCTTGGGTGTAGACAATGATGTTTGTGCGTGGTCTTTTCTCTTGACTTTTCTGTGGAGGCCTGGCACAGTCCACTGGCTATCATTAATTTCTAACAGTGTGTTTAATTTGGGTTTCCCACTGTTATGACTATTTGAAGGCTGGATTTAACTTTATGTATTTTTCTAATTCTCCCAGTGAGGGTTGCAGAAATCTGGAACATTTGAATCTTTCCTGGTGTGATCAGATTACGAAGGATGGTATTGAAGCACTGGTGAAAGGGTGTAGTGGACTAAAAGCTCTATTTCTTAGAGGTTGCACACAGGTACATAACTGCTTGGGTGATCCTTTAGGAATAAAATTTTTCTTTTGGCTTTTTGAAATCTCCATGAATTTAAAAATACTGTTTTTGTTGTAGTCTTTTGTTCAATATTACAAAACACATACATTCCTTCAGTTTGCTTATAATTTCTTGTTTCTTTTCCTTTGTCCAATTTAATTGCTGATACAGTTAGAAGATGAAGCATTGAAACACATTCAAAATCACTGTCATGAGCTTGCAATCCTGAATTTGCAGTCCTGCACAGTAAGTATTTGGTACTTCAAAAGATACATTCTCTAGGAATCTTAGACCATTTCAAAATGCTAATGAATGACACACTTAAATAATTCAGATAGTACTTGTCTGCAGTTTAGATAATTTTGTGTATAATAGATGTCTTGTGGAACGTGCTGGCAGTTCCACAGCTAAGTGTGGATTTACAGTGGGTTTTCTCATCATTCTGTCTTACGACTGTAGCAAGCTCCAGAGTAAGAATTAACTGCATTCATTCAACTCTCATGAATTGTGTATGTACTAAAACATGCAGTGTCACAGATGTAGTTCTTGTTCTCCCATCCGTTAAGGTCAAATGTTTTGATCTGTTCATAATGTTAAGATTTCTAATTGAGCAGAAGCCATATTGCAGGCTGCATAATGGAGAGTAAAAATCTATTGGCATCATACTGAGAATGATTCAGAACCATCTAAATAGCAGAAGGGCATGCTTTTTTCAACAGCAATGGAAGACCACCTTAATTTCTAATGAAATAACTGGGAATCATTCACGTTTATTAAATTATACTTAGAATACATACAATTTAGGTTTGCTGTATTACATCTGCTTTTTTCATTTCTGATTTAACTTTTTAGGAGTGAGATAGATCTTGTAGGCTTGAAATGTAGTTAAATCACTGCTCATCTATAAATAATCTTTAGAAAAGTTTGAAATAAATTAGTGTTAGGGGTTTTGTCATCCACCTTCAAATAATTAAAATGTTAGATTTTTTTCTTTTGGAAAGTTGCTTACAGTTTTATTATGACAATCTCAGGGGTTGGAAAGAACCCCAGGATATCATCCAGTCCAATCCCACGCTAAAACAGATTCCCTATAGGAGGTAGTTGGGCTTTGAACGTCACCAGAGAAGGAGATTCCACAGCCTCTTTGGGCAGCCTGTTCCAATGCCCTGTAACCCTCACAGTAAGAAGTTTTTCTTTATGTTCATATGGGAATTCCTGTGTTCCAGTTTGTGCCCATTGTCTCTTATCCTGTTGCTGGGCACCAACAAAAAGAGCCCAGCCCCTCTTGACAACTACCCTGTATATAATCATTACTAAGATGACTTCTCAGTCTTCTCCAGGCTGAGCAGCCCCAGGTCTCCCAGCCTTTCCTCTAAAGCAAGTTGCTCTAAACCCCTTGTATCTTTGTGACCATCTACTGGACTCTCTCTACAAATTCCCCATCTTTTTGGAACTGAGGAGCCCAGAGCTGGACACAGTACTCCAGATGGGGCCCCACCAGGGCAGAGTAAAGAATCATCTCCCTTGACACACTGTTCTTTATGCACCATTGGCCTCCTTGGCCACACTGCTGGCTCACAGCCAAGCTGCCATACACCAGGACACCCAGATCCTTCTCTACAAGCTTCTTTTCAGCCCCTAGCCTGTCACGATGTGTGTGGTTATTCCTCCCCAGGTAAGGATCTTGCATATTAAAAATAGGTATAAATAAACAAACCTCAAAAATCACAAGTGAAAATATTTTTCCCTTTGAATTTTTGAGTTGATAGCTTGTATGTCCTGCTTGCTGGGCTTAGAAATGTGCTTCCAGAAGCAGCCAAGCTCTTTATGATTGAAGGGCTCCCCCTGATTTTACATAGTAGATCTCCCTGTACTTCATATAATACATACTTGAATTCTAGCAGCTTTGTTTTACGGACCTCTTAAAGTGAGAGGCAAAGTCCAGTAGCTGCAAAAGGAACTGACACTACCTCTGGAAACTGTATCTGAAAGGTCCCATTCCTGGAATGTAGAAGCTGGGGACTTGCAGGCATTTCTGGCCACTTCTCTTTCTTAAGAGGGATTGAAATCACAGTCTCAGAATAGAAGTATTTCTATATGTAACTCAAAGATTTTGCTACACCTCCAGCAGCAGTGTAAGGTTCTGCATGGTCCTTACCTATGAAGTAGATGTTTAGTCAATAATTGTGTCATGAATTTATCTCAAGGGAAACAAAAAAATATCATGTTCTGGGAGAGTCAAAGCCAGAAAATAGTTGATTTATTTTGGACTGTTAATAAGTAGTATTAATCAAAACTTATCTTTATAGCTGATGCAAGTCCTTCTGGATCCACAATGAGAAGAAATCTAATTTCTTGTCTTGATTTGAGAAAAAAGTTTGCAAATTTAGACTGCTGATATTGAAATGTTTGGGGGGAAGGAACATAAGGTGATATCCTTTTGTGCTGAACTGCAGTTTCCCATCCTGTTTCCATCTTTGAAAGGTGATGTTTGTGGTAATGGTTAGAGCAAATATGCTATAATAGCATTAGCATACCTAGGTGGAAGGCTTATAAAAGGAGTGTGTACTTTTAATTTAAATATGGTAGAGGACTTTGTTACTATTGCAAGAGTAATGTTAGTCCAGGAAATAAGACTTGCCTTGCCATGAAGGATTAGCTGTTCAGCAGAAAAATTAAGTTCTTGGAATAGGAATGAGTGGAGGAAGGAACACTTTTTCCAAAGCAGAGGACCTGTAAATAAACAAATATTTGCACATGCATCCAATAACGTAGTTCCTGTTGCTGTTTTATGCACAGCTGTGTTGAGACTACCTGGGATTGCTGCCTTTTTCAGAGTTGTTTTTTTCTTTAACTTCCAGATTGAGAAAGACTTCCTTTTTTTTTAGTCCATCAACTACAGAACAGTTTTGAGAAATGGAAAAACCCCGTTCTTTGAGTCTTAAGTGTAGGTTAAGTGTAAGTGAAGGACTTTTACTGTTGAGCGTAAAGTAGGTTTTGTAGTTCTCCTGCTGTTGAACAGGAGTGAGATATTTCACATAATGTTAACCACATTAAAAAAGCATTATATGAAAAAGCAAATGCAAATTAAAATAGAAATGAGAAGAAAGAAGTCTCCCTCTGTTCTACAGATGGTATTTGAGCAGTATTCTGTGTTTGAAAAAATGCAGAGAGAAGAAAAAATTATCTGTGTTGATTATTTTCAACGTTATCAATAAGCATGTTATCCTAATGGCATTTTTAATTGAAAATTTACAGGCTGTCCATGATTATATACAGGGTGACAAAAAGTTCAGAAATATGACTAGATTTTTGTTCCTGTCAGACAACTGAATAACAGAGTAATTTCAACTTCTTCTGTGTTGCAGCAAATTTCAGATGAAGGTATTGTAAAAATCTGTAGAGGATGCCATAGACTTCAGTCACTGTGTGTTTCGGGCTGTTGCAACCTTACAGATGCTTCTCTCACAGCACTTGGTCTAAACTGCCCAAGGCTGAAGTGAGTATCTCATGAGCATGTTGTCTGTATGTTGTGTTGTTACTGACCTGATCTATGAGCTTCACTTCTTCAGATATCAGCTGATATCCATGAGTTTGGTTTAGCTCTGCTTTACCTTTACAGTGAAATTAGTTAGAGGTATCAGCTGAATCTAAACTAAAAGGCTGGTCCTCAGTGTAGCTATGAAACAAATATAGTCTATTATATATAGGAAAAAGAAGAATAAACATATGACAGATAAACACATAGATCCTGTAAGATCCTGAAAGTTCTGTTCTCTAGCTAAGGATTATGAACCAGGTCAGAAAAAGATAAGGCCTACTACTTTTTTTGTAAAGTGAAAGTGTCTGTAGTTGTGGTATATCTTGTTGTATTTATGGTTTTATGCAATTATTTATATTGCAAAAAATAAGTAAATTATACCTGAATATTATATGTACAGTGTAAAGTCAATGAATGTACAGATGTTATAGTTATGAAATATACCAGAAAGTTTGGCTACACAGTTATTGCACCAAAACAGAATAGATAGAATGCTTACCTGTACCCTGGACTTGCTAAGAAACTCCAGAAGAGGGGATCTCCAGAAGAGATCCTGCCCCCCTGGTAGCCAGCTTTTAAATGAGTCTAGGAGAGGTGCAACCAGGCTCCAAGCCTTCCAGCACCACAGCTGAATTGCCTTCACCTGTGCTCCCAGGGCTGACTCATTGCTCGCCTCAGGTGGTCAATCAGAGGTTCAGGCTGTGATTCAGCAATTCCATACAGTACAGATTTTGTTATATGTGTGTTCTTCTCATGCTCTGTAGTGCTTTGTGGCAATCTTGATCTCTGATATGGAGTACATTAACAGCACTGAGGTCTCTGATGTTTGTAGGATGCATTTTGGGAAATAAAGGATCAGGAGCTGGTTGGAGTTTCTCTTTTCTGGAGTTGGTTCTTCTCCAACTTTCTTAGTGCTTTTTATAGCAAATGTAAGAATCTAACATACTTTGAGAGCAGTGAGTTACAACATGGGGTATTGGTTTTATCTCCATCTTTGCACATTCCTGGTGCTGGATCTTCCAGTGGGATGGCAGAAGCTGGTGCGCAGTGTGCTGGTGTGCAGAGTTCCTGTCACTCGTTGAGACAAAAGAGCTTTTGTTACTTCAGAAAACCTTTCCTTGAGACAGCTGAGGAGTGATGATCTCCCTCATGTTACCATTCATAATTACAAGAGCTTCTCCTTGGGGCTAAGTAATCTTTTGACACGCTCAACTGTGTTCCGTAAGAAAGCTGTGCTCTTATTGAAAGACTTTTCATTTCTCCAGTTCTCTCAATTCCCAGCTCACGTGGGAAATAAAAGTCTGAAGCACTACTAATTGCACAGATCTTTCCAGGGGAAGTACAAGCGTAGCAAGAATTGTTTTTCTCTAGAAAACAATATCTTCTTAACAGGAAATAGTTACTCCTGTTGGGAAGCCTGCCTTTGTTATGAAAGCTGCTGGTCCTCGGCTGTGCCGCGAGGGGGAAGGCAGCCTCTGTGAAGCAGAACAGCAGAAAGAACATTTCAGCCTTTGCAGTGTTAGTGCAGAGGAGTGTGTGATGGAAGGACAGGTGGTACAGCTGGTTTTACAAACCAGGTTGAAAGGGAAGGGGAAATGTAATTGCAGGCTCTTTGGGCTCAGAGCACACCCTCTTTCAGGAACAGCTTGCCAGTATGCTGGTTTCTTATCCCCTGCTTCTGTAATCATCAGAACTTTTCAAACAGATGTGCTCCAAGTAGAATCTTCACTGCTGTGCATGCTTAGATGTCGTTTAATGTTTAGATGTTGTTTAATGTTCAGAAGTGTAATGTGGTTGAGGACTCAACTAAATGTGGAAAGCAGTAAGAAGGGTAACAAACACAGCATGAATCTTTGCTTGTCTGTTTTGTCTTGGTGGGTTTGTTGGTTTTCTTTGTTTGCTTTTTCCTTTTGTTTTTCTTTGTCCTAAATGGCATCCTAGGTATTCTCAGATTGGCTGACTGTTATTTTCTTTAAAGTGGTGGTGGTGTAGTTTCTTGGTTTTTGCTCTGGGCTTTGAAGGTTTAAGCTCTTCGTCCTCTAGTACATTGCTGCACAGTGCTTTGCACACAAGCTCTGATAGTAAGTGGTGCCTCAGTTCAGTGGCTTCCCAACATCGTGCATTTAAATGACACATTTTAGATAGGCTCTTTACCTGTGTTTTCTTAACTCAGGATATATTCTCCCACACGGTTCTTCTGATAACTCTTGAGAAAACTCACTGAAGAGGTTAAAACGCCTGTCATTACGTACACTGTTTTTCACTAAACGTTGAGAAGATTTGAGGATTGCACTTGATCCTGTTTTACGTCTATTAGAATCTCTGATAAGCTGGATCCAAAGTCTGCCCAGTGCTTTTAATTGCCAATGAGTGTGAAAAATAGGCATGTGCCTTTGCTATTAGGAGCTTTTGAGTTGCACACAACAGGCCTCTATCTCGAATACACTTGTTTTCCCCTGTATTAATGTTCTGCTTTACTATTTCCAACTTTTTCAGGATTTTGGAAGCTGCAAGATGTTCACAGCTCACAGATGCTGGTTTTACCCTTCTAGCACGGGTAAGGGTCATTTCAGAAAGTTAGAGCTCACGTTGTTTTCATTGCTGCTGAGCAGCTGTGAGTTGATGTTGTCCTGCTGGGAAGGAATATGAGAAAGAAAAATCAATTAAAGAGTCCATTGGAGGGGAGGGGACAGGATTAAGATTTATTTTGTTTCTGGACTGCGCTTAGAGCTGCAACTAAATCCATTTTGCTAATAGATTCCTTCTTGGGGTGTTTTTTTCCTGAATTTTTAGTATGTTTAAATTGAATTTATTCTGCTTAGCAGAAGTCTAACATTGTTACACGTTCTAGCCAACTTTCCCATATAAAGATGCCAAATACCCTTGTCATATTCGCATCCAAAAATATCATCATATAGTAGGTTATTCTGAGCACCCCTGGAAGCTTCAAAATGCTTTCAGCCATATGCTACAAACTGTGAGCACTCGTGCCATGATTCGTGCTGTGGAGAGGTAAGCATATTGACTGTACCAAATGCCTGAAGTTACACTTGTATGCTTGCTGGTTTAGCAAACCTGAACACAAACACATACTGTGTAAATAGGATTAATTTACAGTACTGGTATTTAGCATGAATGAAAGTCTTTCCAGCCACAGTGGTTAAATGGAGTGGTTTTCTAAACATTCACCACTGCAGCCTGGGGCTTTCAGTAGTCACTTCAGGCCTGAAGGGGCTTGGTCTGAGCAGCGTGGCACTGCGTGTTCTGCTGTGAGGTCACAAAGTGACATCATTTTCTTGAAATTAGCCATGATCAGATATCAGAAGCACTTAGAATCATAGAATTGCTCAGGTTGGAAAAGACCTTAAAGATCATCGAGTCCAACCACAACCTAACCATACTACCCAAACTCTAACAACCCTGCACTAAATCATGTCCCTGAGCACCACATCCAGACACATCTTAAACATATTCCGGGATGGTGTCTCAACCATCTCCCCGCGGAGCCTATTCCAGTGCTTAACAACCCTTTCTGTATGTCCAACCTAAACCTCCCCTGGCACAACTTGAGGCCATTTCCCCTCGCCCTGTCACCAATGAGAAGAGACCAGGATCATTAAGAAGATTGGGAAAATTGCTTGAATTATCACTTAAGAATAAAGAAGTAATCAATGTGAAGTGCAGCTTTCTCCCAGCCTTGAAGTGGACTCTGTTTTAGTATTTTCAGCTAGCAAAACAAATAGTTTTTAAGGCTTCATTCTAAAACTTGAGTGGTAAAGAGAGATGTTTCAGAGGCGGTGGTGTCTTTCAGGTTACTTTGATTCAGGTTGATGTACGCAGAAGTTGAATTCATCTGCGTGCAAATGAAGTAACTTGAATACAAAAGCTGTAAATGCCATTGGTATGAGTCCTGCCAAGAGGGGAATGCTGAAAGCAGGGGTGGCTGAGTGCTGATGACAAACAAATCTTGCAGGGTAAAGGAGGGCAAACATCGTTGATTAAGAGAAAAAGCTGAAAATGTAAAGGTTTTGAGAGGGAGATGTTGTATTGCTTTTGTTTTTTTTTAATTTTTTTTTTAACTTTTGTTCTTTGGTGGTGGTCAAATAATGAAAGGGATTTAGCTCACAATTTCTTTTTGAAGGTTATGCTTTCCCACATCACTGGCCTCATGCATTATCTTACATCTGTATGTTGTTTTATTTCATCTTAGCTGTTTTTGTTTGTTTTAGAATTGCCATGAGCTGGAGAAGATGGACTTGGAAGAATGTGTTTTGGTGAGATTTCATTTTAAAAAGTACTGAGCATGCAGTGTGGGAATGTAGTGCCAATAACAGCATAGAATCACAGAATCTTAGGGGTTGGAAAAGGACCTCTGGGGATCATTGAATCCGCCCGCTGCTGAAGCAGGTTCCCTACAGGAGGTTAAACAGGGAAGCATCCAGGCAAGTTCTGCATGTCTCCTGCATGGAGAAGGAGACTCCACAACCTCTGTGGTCAACCTGTTCCAGAAACATCAGCACTTTGAATTAAATTTGCTGCAGTTTGTTTTGTCTGGGGAGGGAATTAGGGGGGGTAAGTGCTGTGTGATTGAGAGTAAATAGAAGTAATTATGTGGAAATTCTGTACAAGGAAATACGTTATGAGTAACAGCTGATTGGGTGTTTGCCAGAGAAGTGTATGGTGGAGGAAAAAAAACAGCTTTAATCTGTTAAAGGAAGGGATATCTTTCTTGATTGGTGCCCCCACATGCACACAACTCACCACTGTGGGCAGCTTACTGTCAATTTTGGTTTTTTTTTTACTTCTAGATAACTGACAGCACCTTGATACAACTTTCTATACACTGTCCTAAACTACAAGCATTGGTAAGTGTAACATTTTGTCTGTGAGCTTCAACACCTGATATACAACTCTTAATCCTTGTGACATAAAGAACAGATTGTGCACTCTTTAGCTACGAAAATTTCCTGGAGTAGTACAGTACTGTCAAAAAAAAAAAATGGAAATTTCATAAGTACTTTATAGGAAACGGGTTACTCCCAAGTATTCATTGTTTGACAAAAAAGATTATCAAGTTAGAGAGTAATAACCAGAAAGCTTATATTTGATGGTTAATGTCCTTCATATGTGATTCCTCAATTGAAATAAAACTTTTTATGGGCAATTTGCAGTACCTAGATCCTTTATAGTTATTTTTGTGTGTTCAGTAATGGTTTCCTTGGGGTGCAGACACTTGAAGTTGTAGACTGAAGCAATTCAAATACTGAATAAACAACAGCAAAAAAATCATTAAGTGAAGATAAATCCAAATCTTCTTCTATAATCAGTTTTGCATGCATGCAGCTTTTCCCAAAGACTTAAATTGCAGAAGGTTTGGTTTTTTTTTTACCTTTCCAAAGAGATTGGGGAGGACTGAGGTGCCATCAGCAGGGCACTGTGCTTACAGTATTGCAAAGAACTGTTTTGTAGGAGTGGTTGGCTACATCTTCCTGAATGTCAGAACAGTTTCAGGTGATGAGAGTTTGGCTGTCCTCTGGTCAAAGTACCCCATAATAATTAATTACTAGAATGCCCTATGAACAGGGGCTTCTCTGTTCAGGGCCAGTTGTCTGTTAAGTGTAGATCTTTTACATGCTACTTGGAATGTACCTGTGAGAACACGTATCTTTATAATCTGCTCTTAGATGGGATTAAAGAAAGGCTTGCTGCTTCATTAAGTGAATTGTCTTATGATTGGCTTTTCCAGCTCAGTGTTACTAAGGCAGCAGTGGGGAGAGATGGCTTTTAAAAGAGAGCCTTATTCAGTATTTGTTGCTGATGGATTTTATTTTTCCTTGCTCATTGTCCCACCTCATTTCTGTTCCGTTGTTCTTAACATTAAGCCAAACCAGAGTTGTCAGGAGGTGTGGGATCATTTACATGGTCTGTGCTTCTTGATGGATATGTTTTTGTGTTGTAGTCCCAGCTATCACCAGTACTTGCAGGAGATCTTTTGCACCAGTTCTGCCAGTGCTTTACCAGAGAGATCATAGAAATGAATAATATTCAGGTATTTTTCTTAACGTGCTGCTGTTTGCTAACACCAGCTGAGCACCTTCTTTTGTTTGTTAGCTTGTAGATGGGGATGTGTGGCAGTGGTATAATGACACCTTTATAGGGGATTCAGAGGAGCTTACTTTTTCGTTGATTTCGTGTGTATCCTGTGTGTAGCAAGGATGTGTACTCAAACCTGTGAATGAACAGGGTGACAATCACAGAGAAAGAAAGCAGGTGGCTGATAACCTAAGTGAAGCAATCCTGGTACTTTAGATTTGAAATCATGTATTATCGATGGGTCTGTAAACTGTTGTGTGGCTGTGGCTTAGCATACATTCAGGTGTACTTGCAGTTTAAACAAGTATTTTGAAGTTGAAGAAGACAACCTTGAATTTGTTTCTTGGTGTTCAGAGGCTTAGACTGGGGAAATAAGGGAAAGCACAGTTATATTACAACCAACTATTATATCTTCACTAATGCTTTTTTAGTTACTGGACTTGAGAAGTAGTTTCCAGTGGATCTGTTTGACGTTAGTGCCTTCAGATTAGTAGAGACTGACTGTGAAGGACTCCTGGGTAGACCCAGAGAGGAAAAGACAGTTGAATTCTTTAGCTCTGTTTATCATACTGTTTCTTACTGGCACAGTATATTCATGCTATATTTGATTTATACACAATCTTCAATATGTAGGTTTTTTTTTTGTTGTTTTTTTTTTTTTTTTTAATGGCTGCATCTCCTCATTCTAAAGATTTCAAGCAAAAATGTTTGGAAATTCCATGTTCCTAATACTTTTTAACAGGTATATGAAGTCAGACAGTTTTGCAGAGTCCTCTGAACTCAGCTTACATCTTGCATTGCTCTTTCAGCACCAAATATGGTGTCTCAGGAAAGCTGAATTTTATAAGCTGCTTACTTCCTGGGATGGAAAACTCTTAATTAGCCATCAGGCTGCTGCTGTGCCAACAGCTCCTGTCCTTCCTCGAAACGGGGCTGTTAGAAATGTTCTTTAACCCTGCAGTTGCTGGCTGTTTCCAGACTGTGAGCCAGCTCAAATGCTCAAGGTTTCCTACATGGAAGTGGATAAAAGGGAGAACTTAATTACTTAAAGAATTAATAGACTCACAGAATGTAAACATGAGATAAAATGCTTTTTGATAGGGACAAACTTATCATCTCTGTCACCTTTTGGAGACAGCATGCAGCAGTTGTGGTGTTGCTCAGTCACTGCTGGCTGCTCACACTTGGTGAGTGAGTAAAATGGAATCAGCCAGAGGTGAGGGAAACAGGACAGCTGCAGAGAGCCATCTCTCATCCTCCTTTCCAGCTACTGGCTCACCCTTCCCCTTTGCAGATCTACATAAACTCGGTCCTAGTAGCATATGTGAAAACTGAATCTATTATGGTAGCAGTGAAATTCACTTGTGTGTTCTTGATCATCCTTTAAAGTCTCCTGCTTCTGGCACCCTGGATGTGCTGTTTGGACCCTTTGGTGACCAAGATATGCAACAATGGGTTGCCACTAATCAGGAGCTGAGGGCATTGAGGAGTTGGCCAGTGACGCACCTAATTGGCCTCTTAAGCTTGACTACTTACTTGGAAGCAAAGTTAAAAATTAAGTACAACCCTTCTTCTGTTAACTAAACTGCTTCTTTTGTTACGGTTCTGGGTTTAAACTTCATATTCTTTGCAACTTTAACCACTGGAATGAGAGACGCTGAAGACAACTGCTGGTGGCTGGAAGATTTATCAATGCAATTCTAAATGAAATCATTGTTTACCTCTCTGTTTCAGAGCTTATCTCACTGTGAATTGATCACTGATGATGGGATACTTCATCTGAGCAACAGCACGTGTGGTCACGAGCGGCTGCAAGTACTGGAGCTTGATAACTGCCTGCTCATCACTGACGTGACCCTGGAACACCTGGAGAACTGCCACAACCTGGAGAGAATTGAGCTGTATGACTGCCAGCAAGTCACACGGGCTGGAATCAAAAGAATCCGAGTAGGTGCTGTGTGGGCCTGTTCTGAGGGAGCACCCACATCACTGATACTTCTTGTGATTGTGGGAGTAGTCCTGTAGGTGTCCCAGGCAAGGGAGGGCAGGGAAACAGCATCTGAGCTTGTTCTGTTAGGTTCCCATCTGTGTTCCCACAGAATATAGTTTTTCTACATGAGCAGCAGTAATTGCCTGCTTATAATTCTAGATCTTTTTGCTCTTGGAGCTGTGTTTCTATCTGTGCAGTGCATATATATAATATATTTAGGCAGCTGGAGTGCAGAAATTACATGTTGGGAGAAGAGGTTGGGGAGTTTGATGCTTTTCAGCTAGCCAACCTTAACGAGAGCTCATTTTTGCTATATTATGCTTGCTTCTTTCCCATTAAAATACAGACTTCTCATCCACAGGCTCATCGACCTCACGTGAAAGTGCATGCTTACTTTGCTCCAGTTACTCCCCCTCCTTCGGTCGGAGGGAGCGGACAGCGCCTCTGCAGATGCTGTATTATTCTTTGACACAAAGTGCAACCACACAGCGTTTTTTGTTTAGTTTTTTTGTTGTTGTTGAAGAAAAGAACTGGACTGCAAGTCAGTGGAAGGAGTTGGTTTCCTGACTGTTATGATGGTGGTGTTTGGTCATCCAGTTTTGTGACGAGAAGAGCATTTTTTTTTCCAGGTAAAAAGTCTTACTGTAATGTTCAGATGTGGATTGAGTTGGTGATGCTTTGGTTTGTGCTAGTGACTCCTTCCTTCTGTTGGCATGAGAACTGAAGTGCTGTGTACGACGCGGGGGTGTTTCAGCATTATGGTATTTGGTGAACGTTCACTGATGTGGAAGTTAGTTTGTATCTGTAAGCACTTCTGTAAGTTGTATTCAGCATGAGCTCTGATGTAAGATGGGGCTCAGGTCAGACCCGGGATGAAACTGAACCTGCTGTTCTGTAATATACGTGACAGATTAAATATCAGGTTTAAGGACAAATCAGCTTTAGCAAATGTTGACCAAAAATGCAAGGTAGTCATGTGCTCTTCCAGCAAAACAGCTTATATTTCTTCATGATCCAGCACTGCATTTAATGACATTAACAGGACATAATAGGTAATGTCAAAAGGTAAAGATTGTACCTCATGGTAACTATATAAATACTTCTCAGTTTTTGAACTTGGTTCAGTTGAACTACAAGTTAGGATAAAGCTTGCCCGTCACTGAAGCAGTTTTATGCCCCATGCCATCAGCTGTTAAAAGGGGTTGAAATCCACTGGAGTGGAACTTGTGCACTCTATTGAAATGGGCTGCCACAGCCATCCACGGTGCTTACTGTAATGCCATTACTGTGTCCTCAGTCACCTCCTGGTTTGTAATGGAAGGACGGAGCAGCTGTAGGAAGAGGGATGCACTGCTTATGCTTTTCTAAGGTGAGGAATGGAAGCTAGGTTAAGTTGCAGGAACTGTGATGGAGTGAGGACTTCAGTTCAAGCTGTTTGTCCTTGTGTTGTAGGGATGCAGATGGGCAATAGATCTGTGGGCAGGAATTGAACCAAACCAGTGGTTTTCAAAAGCAGAAAGGCAAACTCTTCACATTTGGGTTATTAAAGAAGCTGTCAACTTCTGAATAATAATTAAAAAAAAAATCTGAGTTTCTGAATAATAATTAAAAAAAATAAATAATTAAGAAAAGTATTAACTCTTGAGGTCATGCTTTCATCCTTAGTTTTCCAATGCTAGAGGATTAGATAGATGAACTTTTTTTTATATAAAGCAACCTAATTATCTGAGATAGATAAACTACTCAACAGCTCAGAAAGCTTTTCTGCCTAAGATTGGTTGTGTGTGTTTATGTTTTAAGAGTTTGGGGCCTGCGTGTTTACCAAAATCTAACAGAAATACTGGCTTCATTAAAAAAGCCATCCAAGAAGCTCCTACTGGAACTCATAAACTTAGAGCTACTTTTTAAGACCTCAGTGACTACCAACAACGTTACTATCCTGCTTTACCCAATTCAGAGGTGACAGGGATGGTAAATGAAGATTTCAACTTTAAGGATAAATACCATGATAGTGCAGTTTTCTTTTCTACTGCAGAATAAGCCCATCAATCAGGGCTCATTTTGCACACTAGTAGAGGAGTGTTGTTACAATCAGATTTCCAGTAAGGCACTGCTGTAATGGAGAGTTTCAAGCAGATTTTATTCTCCACTGTACCAGGGAAGTCATTGGTACCCCTATGTCAAAATGTGTTGCCTTTTATTGGCTCTTTTTTTTTTTTTAAGAACATAATGAACCTTGTAAGTATGTCCATTGCATTAAAAATGTACAAAAAGAAATGGAACCTACTCTGATATAGGACATTTAAATAAACAATCAGCTGATGTCAAATACTGATTGCTTTGGAGTTTTTTCCAATTTAAATTTTCTTTGAGAAACAAGATCAACTATGGAGCTGCTCTGCCTCAGTTATTTACCTTTACCAACCACTCTGTGAGGTGCAGTCTCCAACTCTTAACAGAAGTACCTCTAATAACTCTTCAAAAAGACGACAAATAAAAAGAAAAACATGTTTACAAAATTATTGAAAAACATTTATTATACTTAAATTGAAATGTGTACATCTTATTAAAAAACAAAAGCAATTTGCTGGTGCCATAATTTAATTCCAATTTCAAGTGAGCTGGACAAACTACTGTACAACTTTCAATATTCTTTAAAATTAGATGATATTTGGATACTTTCCAATCAATCTTTCATAAAACATTTGGATTTGAATGTGGTTTGAGCTGAAAAGACCGTTGTCAGTTCAAGAAAATAGTAGGATCAAACAATACCCCAAAATGAACAACTTATAGGCAGAAAAGTACAGAAAATTTCATTTTCAGTGCAGAAGGAATAGGAAAGAAACTCTAGCTTTGATGAATTTTAATTTTCAAAATGCTACAGGTTTAAAAAGCTTTTCTGCTAAGCGCTTGAGCCAGGTATGAAAGAGGGAACAAAAAAACAAAGTTGCTTTTTTACATGCTGTAGTAGTTGTTTACAGTGAACACTGCAGCATAAAAAGCAAAGTATTGCCAAGCTTTAAGCCAGAGAACAAGGTGGAAACTTCCAAAGGCACAAAATGACAGATAAGAAACCGTCATTCAATACCTTCTGTAGTATTCCCTTCTGAGTACCTAAACAGCTGGAACAACGTTAACATAGGAGATGCTGTGCCACGTCTTTACAAGAAATAGCCAAAATGCTGAAAAAGCGCATTGCCTGCTTCAGAGTGAAGTGAGAATGTGGTCAGATGGAGGAGGCACTGTACCAGCCTTACAGTATGGATCTGAGGGCAAAGAAAAGTCAACAGAAAAGGTACTACACTCAGCCATAACAGTGCCTCCAGCAAGGCTTCACCTTGCTAAGGAGGCTCCCAGGGTGCACGTTTAGTGTTCCTTAGGCTGGCTGCTCAGCAGTGATGAAAACAACAGCAGCCCCTGGTGCCTGTGGGTCAACTGCCCCTGTGAGTGTAACTGCATTAAGTCAGAACGATCCACCTCACTGCCAGTGTGTTGCAACCCCACACTTACCAAGCAAAGAGTTAAACTGCAGCGGTGCTCTGCAGAGAACCTAGGAAACTAAAAATAAAGGATGCATAGGCAATTCTTTTCCATTAAGTTTGTTAAAGCAAAACACAATTACTCAGTACCCCATAGGATTTGTATTAATCCCTCCAATAAGGTACTATTAATAATGCAGTTTGCTGCATGCATATATTGCATCTGTCTAGGACTTCTTCAAAGCCCTATTCTGGCATTTACACTTCTTACATACACTCTTATACACAATTTACACAGAAGCTGTTGTGACAGCTTTACTCTCCGAGACCCGACAACCTGATCGCTATCAGCTTAACTACTCATCTCCACACAGATTAATATGTGCTCTGCTAACATCAAAAAATAAAACCAGCATAAGGTACAAGCAAGTCACAGACAAACTGGCACAGAAAGGTAAATGCCCTCAAATAAGTTTACATTCATTTCCAACTGGATACAGGTAATAGAGAAGCAACAGTGTTTCACCTCTAGAACCTGTATCTACTGGCCGTAATTTGCCTTATTTCAGTGAAGGGCAAGCACCTGTGCTTACATTGTCTTCCATGCCTGTACGTAAGCTGTCATGGCATTATACCTCTCATGAGGACACGTAGCTATGGCAGTGACAAGAAAGTTCACCTATCAAACAGCTCATTAGAAAGGTCATTTTGTGTTTTCAATATGAAACATCTTATACGGTGAAGCTAGATCCTAAGTTTTTTGGATGATCTTCATATTAGGCAGGATTTCGTTCAGCACTGGAATATCAGTCGAGCAGTCGTGTGGCATCACTTCAGAATTATATGGAAGCCTTCACCATTTTCAGCTGAAAGAGAAAGTAGCGGCAGCCTTACATGAACAGAACCATACCTCTCCAGCAACACACCAAACATTGAGGAATGGACCCGGGTTTCACATGCAGAAGGGGTTCATTACTGCTCTGAAACATTACACTTGAAACTGCTTCAAGGAAAACTTGGTGGTTCAATAAACATCCATGCTCTTAACTATTGTTACAAGATACCGTACCTTTTATCGTGGTGAATAAGAAACAACTTTCATCCTGAAAGTTCTGAACCATCTAAAAAACACACAAAAAAACATTTTCTAAATCCTCCTGCGTGTGTCCAGTGCAGATAATTAATTACATCAGATACTAAAAACAGCCTTTTTTTTTTTTAAGAGCAAATGCACTTGCTCAGCCAGTGTTCAGATGTGACAAGCATATACCAAATTACAGTTCAATACCACTTGTCAACAGTGTGAGAGCCAAGCAGGAGCCTCTTAGTGGTGGCTGTGCAGAGCAGGTCCCTGGGTAAGCTGTGTTCAGTAGTACTTAAACAGTGCCTGTCTTCAGTCATGTTCAAAATAGATATAAAGCAAGTAATGAACGCAGCACCTCACAACTGCACAGACCAGTGGTCTTTCTTTCCTTAGTTTGCAATTATCTGGATTGAAAATGCTAAGTTGCTTTACCAAACAGACAAAACAGCAACAATGTATTAAAAAAAACTTCAATTTTGCAGAATTTGTAGCTTTTTTTCTGAAGAATAAAATTTCCATTACCTGATCACTAACAAGAATGTGGATGCCAGTGGGACCCTGTCTGTAAACCTGGTTGATCTGATGCAAAGGAATATTAAATGCCAAAGCAAGCTTGCGCGTAACTTCTGAGGCTGCCATTTCTTCTAAGTAGATTGCATGATAAACTGCCAGGAAAAGAAAAAACATAAATAAGCACCAGGCTAACTGGAAAAGGGAAACTGGATGAAAAAACCTGACTTGGTTTATATACCCGGCTCCTAGAGGGTTACAAACTGAAGACACTTTTCCTCTGCTCTACCTGGACTCGCTACCAGCACAAGCTGCTGTGCCTTTTCTTTCAAGGTAAGGCAGGAACACAGCTCTCTGCCCAGGGAGAGGCCTCTGCTTGCTGACAAGGAAATGCTCACGTTTTTCCTCTGTCCTGCACAAGACACTATCAGCATGGGCTTCAATGGCTCTTTGGAGTCACCTGAAGATGACTTCAGAAGTAGTTTGGGAGTGCCTCAAAAGATGACAATAATGCTTCTGACTTGTACTGTGACACTGCTGCTTGAAACAGTGGGTTGTCATCTTTTTGATAAAGAAAAACCTTTTTCATCTTTCTGAACAAGTTTCCTTATCATTAGTTCAGAGCTGAGAAACGGGGGTGAAATACAACATGGCAAACAGTAAGACAAAGTAGCTACTCATTGGTTTGATGCTGTATTTAGAGTCTTCTCTCTTTATTAAATAGTGCCAGAAGCCCATAGCAGCTCTGTGCTTGGACATGCTTCTTTCCCATACCACAGACTGAAGATACCCAGAACAAAGCACATATCTGACAGGCAGGGCTCTATTTACAGATCCTCCTCCACCTCAGTTCTCTCATGGAACAAACACAGCTACCAATACAGCAGCAGTCCAGACAGATGTTAGGGATTCCGGTTGGTTGGTTGTGGGGAGGGGTATCTCTTCAATAAGAAAATGGTAATTTCAGTAGCTCCACTCTCTTAAGATTGACGTGAATTTACAATTAAACATTAGGTTCCCATCCGTGTTGAAACAAGAGCTATCTCCTAGGAAAACAACATTAAAGCCATAGGAGAGTAACACAGTGGCTGTCTCTCCTTGCCCAAGCTGCACCAGTTTTAGTTCAGCTGCACAGAAAATGACAGCAAAATGTAACTAAAGGATGGCTGTGAATTTAAGCTTTTAATTTGCAGCCAGCTTTCCACATGCATCTAGTTAGTGTATCTTGGCTGTGCAACACGGCATGGCTAATTTGAAAGTCCTTTAATTAATTATCAGTTTAACTACAGTTAGTTTTATCAGTGGACTGAAAAATCGAGGATTCAACCTTGAGAAGTTTTAAGGTCATGCACTGTTAACAGACAAGCCGTGTGCTTTTGAACACACCTTCCTGTGGTTTCGCTTCCTATGTTTCAAGAACAGAACTTCATCTTTTCACTATCCTTTCCCCCCCACACACCCATCTTGTTTTACATTTCTCAGACACAATAACAGCAAGTTAAAGGACCCCCTGCTCCATACCATATATTGCACCATTGCTGCTGTCACCGTTGCCTGCATCTTGTCTTTCCAGTTGTATGCTCCTTACTGGCTCCTGACAGACATAAATCGTTAGACGGGGCCTCACAGACCTGCAAAGCAAACAGACCACGTTTACAGAAACGCCTCCCTGCCCTGGAAGGAGGAGATGTCATTTGCCACAAGTGTAAATTTGTTACATCAACAGTATACTTGAAATGCTCCTATAAAGGCTCACAGTAGTGAGTGCCCATTTCAGTCAGAATCAGGACAGATCTACCAAGACGCTGTCTGTGTTGGCAGCCAACATGTGTAACATCCAAAAGCCTCAGGCTGTTCTTAGTTCACCTACGTGTGCCATTCTGTGTTGTGGCAACAAATTCACATGTACAGGAAGTCAGCAGTGTGCAGCCCCAGTGGTACCAGCCCTACAGGTTACCTCCGAGCCCATTGCTGCCCACAGCTCAGCAGAGCTGCTCTGAGGGCACCACAGGAACCTGCATCTGACTGCTGCCAGCCCCAGGGCCCACCCAGCTGCTGAATTCTCACTCCCTGCATCTCCATGTTCTAGGGAGCAATAGAACAAAGTCTGCTCAGCCACGTGCTCCCTATTTTACCTGGATTT